CATACACCTGTGGTCCTCAGGGGTCAAAAATGTCCCCATTTCATTTGACTGTTTTTTAAAGTATAAAGTATAAATTGTCAATCAATTCAGTGTTACACCTGAGTTTTACTTAAGACTAGAGATGGCACGATACCACTTTTTTATGTCCGATACCGATAGATATCATAAATTTGATATCTGCCGATACCGATATGAATCCGATATAGTGTTTTTTAATCAACAAAACTGTTTTTTAAATATCTTGCTGCATTTTGTATAAGTTCATACTCAAGTTTAAAACAACAACTACACTAAAGCTATTCTGTTATACCTGTATGCAAAAGAAAAATATTTCATAGTTCAGCAATACTGATCAATCTAATAAACTTAAACCTACACCATCCTCCCTATTCTGGTATTTTAAAGAGTACTTAGCATAAATATTAAGCAACCTAACTAATAGGGTTCCAACTCCCAGCAACAACAAAAATAAATAAATAAAATAGGGAACCACCCCTCACGCTCCACCTCATGATGCTTAATCGACGTAATCAACCTTAATTTGATGCAGTGTGAAAAAAATGCACAGAAATCAATTATTTTTCAAGAAATATTAAATAGATTCAACATCTTTCTTCAACAAAATTGCAGACTGCACAGATGGTACCTTCCCAAAGGAAAAAGTACTATAGCTTACTAGGGTATATTAGACTTAATAGTCACTATATACAGTAATGTGACTTCTATTCATTTTACATCAAATTAAAACTTTGGGTGTCAGATAATTATTTATTAAAAGCTAGACATTTTAAATGAGAATAAGAAAGAAAAGTATGTCTTTGTGCCCCTTTTCCCTGTTACATGCCCTATCGGCCCCCCTGGCTAAACTTTGCTAGATCCGCCCCTGCACAGTTACCAGCGTCAGCTACGTAGAAAAAGATCCTGGTTAGAAAGTAATATTAAATAAATTCTAACAACAGCTGATCAAGCTTAAACGTGCTGCTGTTGTTCAGCCGCTGGTTTCCTCTTTCTAGGTGCAAAGTGGGCCAAAAGCAAACTAGAGACACGGACTCGCGACAGAAAAGCCGATCAGCTGATCATTGATAGCAGTTTCATGATTGAAGTAGCAGCAAGAAGAGGCAGTCGCTCCATATATCGCTTGTTAAGCTTAACGCAGGAATGCTTTACAAACATTCAGAGATGGACTTACACACTTGCTTTACTTCTCTTGGGGATAACTTTGTCGGAGATGAAATGCCGGGTTGCTAGCGAAGCTCCACATGCTATCCAGACCACCGACAGGTCCCGCATGCCACAGCCGCTCTATCACGTGATGCATACTGCTCCGACGTGCTAACGTTCTGAGGTGAGTTACGGCGTGTTGCAAGTTTTGTGAGGTGCTTTCGTGATATTTAATGGATCGGATTACATTTTTTATTTTTCTCCGATATCCGATCCAGTAATTTAGGTCAGTATCGGACCGATACCGATATGTAATATCGGATCGGTCCATCTCTACTTAAGACCCACCGGGAACGAGTCCGACTTATTGCCGGCAATGCGAACCAAGCTCTTGCAACGGTTGTATAGGGATCGAATGGCCCGTAGCAATGGGCCAGACACCCCATATTCCCGCAACACCTCCCACAGGACACCCCGAGGGACACGGTCGAATGCCTTCTCCAAGTCCACAAAACACATGTAGACTGGTTGGGCAAACTCCCATGCACCCTCAAGTATCCTCGAGAGGATAAAGAGCTGGTCCAGTGTTCCGCGACCAGGACGAAAACCGCATTGTTCCTCCTGTATCCGAGGTTCGACTAGCGGACGAACTCTCCTTTCCAGCACCCTGGCATAGACTTTCCCAGGGAGGCTGAGGAGTGTGATCCCCCTGTAGTTGGAACACACCCTCCGGTCCCCCTTCTTAAAGATGGGGACCACCACCCCGGTCTGCCAGTCCACAGGTACTGCCCCTGATCTCCACGCAACATTGCAGAGGCGTGTCAACCAGGACAGCCCTACAACGTCCAGAGCCTTCAGGAACTCGGGGCGGACCTCATCAACACCAGGGGCTCTGCCACCAAGGAGTTGTTTAACTGCCTCAGTGACCTCGCCCCCGGAAATTGGCGGGTCATTCCCCTCATCCCCAGACTCTGCTTCCTCCTCGGAAGACGTGTCAGTGGGATTAAGGAGGTCCTCGAAGTATTCCTTCCACCGCCTGACAATTTTCTCAGTCGACGTCAGCAGCGCTCCGCCAGCACTATACACAGTGCAGGTAGAGCACCGCTTTCCCCTCCTGAGACGCCTGACGGTTTGCCAGAATCTCTTCGAGGCAGTCCGAAAGTCTTTTTCCATGGCCTCTCCGAACTCCTCCCACACCCGAGTTTTTGCTTCAGCCACTGCCCGAGCCGCATTCCGCTTGGCCTGTCGATACCTGTCGGCTGCCTCCGGAGTCCCACAGGCTAACCAAGCCCGATAGGACTCCTTCTTCAGACCTCTGTTTCCTCACATTACTGCAAATATTCCTCTGTCTCAGCTGATTCCTCTTTCCTGCTTGATTCTTTGTCTTCATCATAATTGAAATGGATGATGTGTAGTCCTCTGACACATCTTCTATTTCAGTTTCACATTCTGAAAATTCAAGAAACTTCAAGAAGCCCAGTCACTTTCTCTCCAAGCTCCTCAGACTACCATGTCCTGGATGCCTGAGAACCTACTTGAACATAGTTCAGATTCTTCATCACTTTTCTTCACTTCATAGCCTTCTTCCACTTCTGCAGGTGGCTGATGTGCTTTTTCAGAGAAAGGGTAGCATGTGCTCTAAATATTGACAATATTTTCTATATCTTCTAACCCTGGATCTTCCTGAACATTGATTCTTCCTCCTCATTATACTAGAGGACAATATGTGCTTTGTTCTACTGGTCATTGCTTTGCACAACATGGTAAAAAAAGGTATGCTCACAAGCCTCCAGTGCAATGGAGGCCTGTGAGCATACTTTCTGTGTATGTATTATTGTAGGGTCTACCTTACAATATGAAGCACCTTGATGCGACTGTTGTTGTGATTTGGCGCTGTATAAATAAAATTTAATTGAATATAGAGCACCTGCCTCCTCATTGTGCTGCCTGTTGTTGTTGTTGTGGTTGTTATGACCAGTTGCTTGACCCCACACATCAGTGATCCAAGATCAAAGATGTTTGAAAGCAGTATGGTGTGAAAATATGGCCCTTTGCAACACTTTGCAAAACCCCATAAATAAATCAAATTACATAAAACTTATTCCGATCATGCATAGCATAGTAATGAATAGCTTCTGTTATTTTCAGACCATTTGATGAATAAAAAACACATTTATGATAGCAAAAGATTTCTTTAGAGAACAAAAATGACCCAAGGACAACACAATTAAACATGTTTGTGGTTGTTACAGTAAAAAATATAACTTTTTCTACTCTGATTTTATGTTTTTTGTCTGATTTTAGATCAATTGTGTTAATACAGTATGTCAAAATGAAAACATAACTGTAAATTCAGACACGTGAGGTTGTGCTGAAAAGAATGATACCAAACAAGGCAAAGTAAATCGTTTTTAAAGGTGAAATGTGGAGGGAAAATCAAAAGTAGTTAAAAATGGCCAATTATACCCTGGACCCCAGAGGGTTAAACATTTTTTTAAAGTAACACAATAGTTACTTTTCAAGTAATTAATTACTTTTAGGATATTGTAACTCAGTTACTAACTCCGTTAGTTTTTTTGAAGAGTAACTAGTAACTAAAATTACTTTTTAAAGTAACTTGCCCAACACTGTTAATACCTCTATGTTTGTTTTGTAGGCATTTAAAAAACAAAACATCCAGGTTCTTTTTTTTTTTGCATGCATCTAATTTAACCAAACATTAATCATTTCTCTAATGAACTGATTACAAAACCTGATTTACCAGCAAATTATAAACAGTGCAGTTCAGTTCCAGGACATGAGTTTGCATGGGGAATTATTAATCAGGTTACAAAGAACCAGCAAAAAATCGAAAGTGATGCTTCTGTACTGCTTGTAACTCATTTAATTTCTTCTTGTTTCACACAATGTATCTTTTTATTTTAACATTGAATCATGTAACTGACTGATTCAATTATAGTCTGTTATTATTATTTGGGTAATTCAGACACCTGTGACACTTTAAATAACTCTGGAGGGTACTGAAGAAATAAGAGAAAGCCATTTCCCAAAATTGCACTACTAGTTAGAACTAAGTGAATAAATAAAAATGCACTGCATCAATAGCGTAATCTCTCTCTTTGAAGCTTTAGAAAAAACAATAAGAGTTAATGAAACAATGTAGACAAGTATTTTTGTTGCAGCTCACACTGTCTGAGGCTACAATCTAAACATAAGATGTAAGATTATAATGCTTTGGTTATTTATTCTAATGCAGGGATGTCAAAAATCTTTTGACATCTGGGGCCAAATCAAGCACAGTTTGATCCTAAATGGGCCAAGGCTAATAAAACTCCCCTTTCTGCCAGTGTAGCAGATACAGAAATTGCAGGAACTTTTCCTTTATTTAATTGGTTATTTGTTTATTAATTACTTTGATGTAGTATGAATAGCCATAGCGAAGTTGTTTAAAAAAATACATTTAAAAGACATTTACATTTTAAAATTTATGCCCTGCATTATATTTGGTAAAGCTGACCAGCGGGTCAAATTGGAGTCTTTGACAGACTGAATCTGGCCCCGGGGCCTTATGTTTGACACTACTTTTCTAAAGCATTAGCTGAAGTAAATTTATTTCAATTAACTAAGCACCTGAAGCAAAATGAACAGAAGCCTATGCAGCTGGGCCAAAGCTTGATCAGTGACAACCTGAGTAATTGTTTCCACTAATGTGGCAGGAATAGCAGACTACAGAGTAAAGTCTAATTTTAGGCCAAAGTTGTACTCCTCCTTGTTATGAGAGAGTCAGAGGACTGCTTGTACTGTTTGTGCAGGCCACTGTGCGTGTATGCTTTCCTCACCTGGTTGCTGTCCACCTTGTAGCCATATTTGAGGCCAAATGTTTTGCTCAGAGAAATGTTGATGGCAAAGCCCACAATGGCCACAGCAAAAGCATCTCCTATAACGCCTGAGAAGAAAGTGGTATCTGGAGCACGAGGGGCCTTGAGCCTGGAGCAGAAGAAAAACGTGAGCTGTTTTATCAGCGACACACACATGAATCTGTTTAATAATTTAGAAACACGTCAAATTAAATTTTATGAATCCCTCTTTAAAGGCCAGTAGCTGTTGTATACATGTATGACATTAATCTCCTATTATGGCTAGTGTTTACCCCACGCTGTTTTATTGCTTCCGTGGGGAAACCTGGATTTTTCCATAACAGGAGCCTTCAGGAGACACGCTGTTACACACACACTTCTTTGCAGATTGTGTGACAGTCTTATCAACAAATTCTGGATTTCTGGCAGAAATGAAAAGGGAGGAAATTTTGTGCCCTGGGTTTACTCCAGCACTTTATTTCCGCCCAAAGATGAGCTTACCCACTGGGAATTTCTCCAACCACGTCAATGTTGTATTTACTAGGAAGTTCACAGAAATGTGTAATGATTGTTGCTGCTATGACCTGTTGATTAAAAAAAAACAATGTCACTCCAGTATCATTAGTTCTTTTTATATTTCTTTCTTGCAAACAGCCCCTTTCGTGGGCAACTATAGCGTTCCCTGGGTCTAGTGTGATCATTGGGGTCAAGACGCTCCCTGCTGGGTGCATAAATCAATACACCTGCTGTTTTACTTGCAGAGAAAGGATGAAAGAAAAACTAAAAGGAAGACTTACAACTACGAGCTCTATTGGAATAGGCAACGGCAGCTTCTGTCGGTAGCAGTCATTGATTTCTTTGACCACAATGAGAACAGCGAGTGCCACCAGGCTGACCACCAGCTCTGGCACCTGAGTCTGCGGCAGCAGGCTGCAAATGTCCAACACAGTCTGTGAAAAGAAGAAAAACAAACAAGTAAGGCAATACAAACAAAGAGGACTGGAAATTCGGCTAGTACTTAAAGTCAGCAGAAATCTCCAGCAGTAAGGAATACATGTCATCAAAATGCAGCTTCCACTTAAACCCAGCCATCTTTGTGTGTTTGTGTCTGAAGCAAGTTAATTTAAAGCAAACTTATTCCTTCAATTCAATTCAATTTTATTTATATAGCGCCAAATCACAACAAAAGTCGCCTCAAGGCGCTTCATAGATACAGAGAAAAACCCAACAATCATATGACCCCCTATGAGCAAGCACTTTGGCGACAGTGGGAAGGAAAAACTCCCTTTTAACAGGAAGAAACCTCCGGCAGAACCAGGCTCAGGGAGGGGCGGCCATCTGCTGCGACCGGTTGGGGTGAGAGAAGGAAGACAGGATAAAGACATGCTGTGGAAGAGAGACAGAGGTTAATAACAGATATGATTCAATGCAGAGAGGTCTGTTAACACATAGTGAGTGAGAAAGGTGACTGGAAAGGAAAAACTCAATGCATCATGGGAATCCCCGGCAGCCTACGTCTATTGCAGCATAACTAAGGGAGGATTCAGGGTCACCTGGTCCAGCCCTAACTATATGCTTTAGCAAAAAGGAAAGTTTTAAGCCTAATCTTGAAAGTAGAGATAGTGTCTGTCTCCTGAATCCAAACTGGAAGCTGGTTCCACAGAAGAGGGGCCTGAAAACTGAAGGCTCTCCCTCCCATTCTACTTTTAAATACTCTAGGAACAACAAGTAGGCCTGCAGAGCGAGAGCGAAGTGCTCTAATAGGGTGATATGGTACTACAAGGTCATTAAGATAAGATGGGGCCTGATTATTTAAGACCTTGTATGTGAGGAGCAGGATTTTGAATTCAATTCTGGATTTAACAGGAAGCCAATGAAGGGAAGCCAAAACAGGAGAAATATGCTCTCTCTTTCTAGTCCCTGTCAGGACTCTTGCTGCAGCATTTTGGATTAGCTGAAGGCTTTTCAGTGAGTTTTTTGGACATCCTGATAATAATGAATTACAGTAGTCCAGCCTGGAAGTAATAAATGCATGAACTAGTTTTTCAGCGTCACTCTGAGACAGGATATTTCTAATTTTAGAGATGTTGCGCAAATGGAAGAACGCAGTCTTACATATTTGTTTAATATGTGCGTTGAAGGACATGTCCTGGTCAAAAATGACTCCAAGGTTCCTCACAGTGTTACTGGAGGCATATGTGTATTCTCTTAAACTGCTTGATCTGACTTCTTCAAAGTGTGTTTCCAAGTTCAATATTGTCTCATTACAGCAGGTAAAATTACAACTTCATCTAATCTGATATGTGTGTAATAACATCTAGCATGTAAGCTCCTGTAATTCCCTGCATAGCTCCAGTGAGATTAGCTTCAGCTACTGGAACCATACTGGTGACTGTAATTGGACTGGTATATTTCATGAAGCTCTTTTCTGGCATTACTGGCCAAGCAAAACTTTTACTCTAAAAGCCATGTTCTTATAGTATTTTATATCATGCACTTTGTTGCACTCAAGGACACAAACACACAAACTTTGTATTTATTTACAAAGGTGATAGGAATAACTCATCCATTTATGTAGGTGCAGGCATCATAAAACTGTTGTAATTAGTCCAGTGCAGTCATTAAATAAAAGTTAATGATATAAATTTTTAACTTTGCAAAACTAATTTTTTAAATGTTTAATCGTAAAGGTCAAAGTAGCACAAAAAGTAAATAAATAGTGACAGCAATTTAAAATGTTAGTGTACTTAAGTGTGAATTGGATAGATAATGATTAACACACTCACATAAATGAGGGAGAGGGGGCCAGTGAAGCGAGACGGTGTGATTCCAAACAGGTACTTGAGCTGGGAGACACACACGTGGCATGCCGATCCTGTGGTGTAGCCACGAATGAGGGGCTCAGAGAGGTAGGTGACCACGAAGCCAAACCTCACCACACCCAACAGAATCTTAGGATGTAAAATGACAAAGTCAGTGAAAGAAAGGAGGTGAAATATGCCCTGAAAGGTTTGCTCATCACTTCACTAAAAGCTGTACGTCTGACACACAAAATAGACACACACCTGAAAGATTCCTGTCAAGACTGTGAGGGAACATGCCACCTGTACTCTGTAAGCATCGCGTTTATCGATGTCCACAGTTTCCGTCCCATTAGTGCCATTCACAATAAAGTTACTGTCAGGTGCCAGCCTTTCTGTCACACTCCCGACCATGATGCTGATCACAGCAAATGTACCTGAGCATACAAAATACAGCCATGTGGACACACAGATATTCATAGGGACATGGAAGAATCAGATTAGCAATGCTCCAAAAGGTTGATTCTGTTCATCTGGACATTTTCAGTTGGAGAAACGTTTCGTCACTCATCCAAGTGACTTCTTCAGTCTCAGCTGACTGCAGGTTAGGTTAGTTAGTTCATACAGATTTTACAGTAAATCTGGATGAAACTTGGCACACAGGTACAGTAGGTGTCCCAGAGGAGGGATGTGTTGAAAGCTGGACATCAACTATTCAGGATGATTTTTAATGAATTTAGGAAATTGGCATAATTGTAGTGTATTGGCTGTATTGAATTGAATATAAATGTCATTTAATTTCTGAGGAATTTTACAGTAAATCTGGATGAAACTTGGCACAGAGGTACAGTAGGTGTCCCATTCGAAGCTTCCTTGGGATATCAGCCTTCCCTATTTCCTGCTGTGGAAGGTGAGCATTCTGTACCCTCCGTCCAGGCTCATCTACGCAGGTGTCGACGGGTTTGGCGGGCCACTACGCACAAAGGAGAACAACAAACGCATCGCAGACCGGCACCGGACCCCAGCACCCGAATACTCTGCCGGTCAGAAGGTGTGGCTCTCTACCCGCTTTGTTCCCGTCAGGACCGAATTCAAAAAACTTACACCCAATTTCATCGGTCCTTTTGAGATCTCTGCCCTAGTCAACCCTGTCTCTGTGAAGCTGAAGCTCCCTCACAATATGAAAATCCATGATGTCTTCCATGTTTCACAAATCAAACTGTGGTCTGCGCCTGAGTCTGCCTCACTATCCATGACAGTTTCTCCCACTGAAAACGCTACGTCCAGATGAACAGAATCAATTTTTGGAGATTTACTTACCTGGATGATTGAGAATGCATCAAGACAGATTAGCAATGATGTTAAAGCTTTTTTGAATTAGGAAAACAGACATTTTCCACATCACTTACCTATAGAAATGTGTCTCGATGTACCGAAGATGAAGTAGACCAGCACTGGGAAGAGGGAGGTGTAAAGGCCATACACTGGTCGCAGGGAAGCCAGAAGAGCATATGCCATGCCTTTTTAAAGAAGATAGAGCGCATATGTGTCAGCTTAAAGTCCTTCAGACACATTTTGGTTGCTTAAAAGATTGATAGAAACATCCTTTTTCTGTTTACTGATTAGAGTGGGGTGGGAGAATTGATATCAGCCTGTGTCCTAATTATTGTCTTCAGATTTGGATAAAATTAAGGTAGCTGCTTCTATTACAAACATTTGTACTGAATTTGTGTGGCTAAAGAGTGAGCTCCCTCAAGTGCACAAATTCCCACATACAAACCCTGCGGCAGATGCATGATGCCGACACTGCAGCCAGAAATCAGGTCTCCTAAGGCATTTTCTCTGATGGAGTAACGAGGCAACCAGCTGAGAACAGGGACCCAGGTTAGAAGTATGTGTTTCAGCCTGGGCACCGAACATCTGCAACAGTCATTCCAGAAAGACACAATTTAAGTGCTGATATCGACTTTGTAGTTTGTAGTTTTAAGCTTAAATAAATAAAGAATATCTATGTACCTTTTTATATCTATTAGTCTGCTGAAGAGGGATATATACAAAAAGACTGACAATGTAACTTGTGAACTGTACCACCTGTTACATCTTTTATCAGCTGGGGCTGTAAAAGATTAAGTCACTGTGGCTTAGGGTAGAAATGTGATAAGCTTCCATGGAGTAATAACTAAGTATTTAACAAAAATAAATAAATAAAATAATTAATTGCCTTTCTCCTGCATGAATATTTGCCTTCTTTGTCCCAAAGAAATATGTAAGGTAATAAAGTAAGTCTCGACCTCCTCTGCCATGTTGACGTGTTAACAGTTATGAATTCATGTAATTGAACTGTCAATAATTGCTTTTGTGATTCATCAGTATCACTTTTATGGTCAGATATGATGTGCTGTATCACAAGTTGTTTTAAAGGTTAACCAGGGAAAATTTTCAAAAATGATGAACTTTGCTTTGAGATAACAAAACAGTTAACCAACCAGACAAGTCAAACCTCTATCTAAACATGCAAACTCATTCTCAGCTCTTTAGCTCACTTCATTAATATCTTTTAAATGTTGAGAAGTTCTAACCCTAACCCTTTGTCTTTGCGATAACTTCCCATGTCTTTTTAAAAAAATTACCTCAGGGGCTCTTTCACCTGATCACCCAGTGTCAGTTTAGTGGACCAGGTCTCTTTTTGAGCCACTTCATCCAGGCATAACTCATCCAGAACCTCCCTCTTCACAAAATACTCAACGGATTGCAAGTCCTTCTCCTCCATGTCCTTGTCTACTTGAGCAAATGTCCGAGACCTCTGTAAAGTTGGGTTTGTTTTGAGGGTCCTCTTGAGTGGTACGGACAGTTACAGGTGTCACCACTGTGTGAAGAGAACGAACCCCCCTCAGTGTTCTGTAATAATGCGTCTGTGGGAGTGACTGTTCCTTTTCCATCCTGGTAAGAGAAGATCCACCTCCCCGCATGTCCCTGACTGCACACTTGCACACACCTGATGTAATGTGTGTCTGTGTGAACATACATGTGTGTTGGCCTATGGCAAATAATTTGCTAAAAGTAACTTAAAAGGATGAATTGCAGAAACTGCAGAAAACTGCAACTGAAAAACAGAACATGTGTTGTATAATGTAACGAATGTGCATTAATACAGAGGTTTTTTTAAACACTTACTCAATTTTATTTTCATTTTAGATTTCTTCTGTAAAGTGTATTTCCTCAGTGAGGGACAATAAGGGATATTTCTATTCTATTCTATTCTGAACCATTCTCTCATAATCTGCTTCTAAATCATCTATAAACACTTTCTAGAATAGAATAACCTTTTATTGTCATTGTACATTTAAATATGTTTACTATCTTTATTGTTTATCTATTATCTTTATTGCTGTTGAGCTTCAGTAAAGAGATAAAATAACATCATTTTCATTGTCAGCAGAAAATCCATGCCAGATATTTCTTACGGTGTCTGATATGTTTCTTTGAACCTGGCAGACTAGTAAAAACAGGCAACACCCTCGTGATCTAAATGTCACCAGCTAATCTTATGTATCCCAGCTGCCTGTTTACATATAAGGTAACTTTGTTACACATGCCATGTTTGAAAAATCAAAAAACAACATAGAAAGGTTTTATTTTTGTTAGAGATATTGAAAAGTCATCTGGGGGGATGTGAAACCCTAAAAATATGAGTCTGTACACATGATCTGTGTATGTCTGCAAAAAAAAAAAAAAATCGCTTATTTCATAATTTTAACAAATCATTTTTTTGCAGTGGCAGAAAAATCAATAGAACTTTTTGAAAACAGTTGACTCACAGTCTTGTGGACATCCAAAGCCTCAACAATCACCTGCATTAAAGCCTCATCAGTGAGTTTCCCAAACTAACAAATAGTTAGTTTTATATTCTCCTTAGTTTTAATTTATTTGTTTTAATTTCTTTCAAAGTCTAGTTTTTATTTTTATTTTATAAAAAAAAATCACATAACTTTAGATTTTAATTTAATTTTAGTTAACTATCTTCAAACATACCTGTTCACGTCATGTTAATTATTCATGTGGTCTCTTAAAATGTGCAGATTTCTCTTTAGAATTATTTTAAGGAAAAATGTGCAATTTCATTAAAGTAATTAGAGTGAAACGCTGCATGAATGAGTTTAAGGACAGACTGCTCAGTCATGTATAGAAACCTGAACAGGCCTGCAGCCCCACCAGCACTTGCTGGTCTATTTTAAACTCGTTTTTGACAGTGAACATGCTGTTGACCCCCACTCACCAAAACAAAATGGCACAGAACACGAGAGAACTGGCAGCAAACAAAAACTTGACACAAACAGCCCAGCCTGTGTTGTAGTTTTGGCAAGGAAAACTGACGTAATCTCATTTTAATACTTCTAATCTTGGTTCTTTGGACAACACTGGTATGGTAACTGTTTTTCTGCATGTGCTTAGCAAATATAATGCATGCTATTTCTGCTTCTCTGAACCGTGTGTGCGTGTCTGTGGGCTGTTTATGTGTAGCTCACGCACACAGAGTGTGGTTATCAGCTGCAGGGGTGGAACCACAGGTCAACATGTAGTAGAACGTAATCTACAAACAGGTCAATGGTATTTAGCTTTATGAAGTATATTAAATGTCGCATTAGTTAAGGCAGACTCTTTAACATGATTGGTGTACATGTCAACGTAATTTATAAAAACAAAAGAAAGATGTGCTCATTTGAACCGCTGTTCACACTTAAAAGCATGATCAGAGTTCACACTGCTCATGTGTTCATAATATAATGGCCATTGTGACTGGCATGAGTTAGCTCACTCATGCGAAGCACTCCCGGCTGAGCTAATGAATACACTTGGTACTCATTAGCTCAACGTGAATAAACAAAAAGTGGAACTAAATATGCTCCGTGCATGGATCAGACCCACGGAGGAAAAGTGCATAGTCATTCAGTCTCACGTGGGAGAAAACTTTCCATGCAGTACCTACTGACAACAGTGAAGCTGCGATAGTGAAGAGCAGGTAGATGCAGTTGAAACTGCATACAAGTGTGCATAGACCAAACTTTCACAGATGTTCACTCATTTTGTTTATTGATTTATTTAATTGTAATTACTGATGCATTTTCCACAACTCCCCTCTCTTCAAAACAAGAGTCCATGGATGCTGAGGTGCTGCACTCTGCTCAAGCAGAGCATGGCTCACTTTTGCTAAGGCAGCTAGAGAGGATGAGAACAACTAAGGAGCTCACTGACGTGGTGCTGCTAGCTGAAGGGATCCCCTTCCATTGCCACAAGGTGGTGCTGTCTGCATTCAGTCCTTACTTCCAGGTAAAATAGTCAGGAACAATAAACCGTATGCTTGAAGGAAAATGAAGAACACTATTTAAATTATTTGCAATGCAATTATTTTTATTTTCCTTTTTATTTTCCTGTAAAATACCTGAAGATATGCAATACTCAAAAGCACTTATGCACTACATAAAATTACTTCCATATTACTTATTATTATAAATAATATTATAAACATAATACTAAAATCTACTTACAGTATAATTATTTCTTTGTTTCCGGTAATTTCAAATAAAATACATTGGAAATCATGTTGTATTGCAGGGGAATTAAGCCGTTCGTTGCAGGCCATATTATAAAGTGTTACCATATTTTTTATTATTTTTTTCTGAACTACTCCAAGCAAATGCATTAATGAGATGCAAGGCTGTAGTTGTATCATTTCTTACTGTTCTGGTGAATCATTGTGTCCAGGCCATGTTTACATGTGGTCTGAAGGAGACGCACGGAGGAGAAATACCACTCAGAGACACTTCTGCACAAAGCTTAAGGCTGCTGCTGGACTACATATACTGTGGCGAGCTCCCACTAACAAACAACAACATCCAGGGAGTGGCCGTTGCTGCCTTTCTGCTACATGTAGACGGAGCCTTCAGGTGGGGTGAAACTGACAGAGGGGTAATTGGTAAAGGTGTCACCTGTTAAAGTGCAAGTTTTATGCTTAAGAAGTACTCTCCTTGTTTTTACTGAGGTAAGGTTGTGCCAGAGTCACATGGAGGCCTGTATGGACCCGTCAAACTGTGTTGGTCTGTACCACTGGGCCAGGAACTTGGGAGCAACTAGCCTCGCTGACTGTGCCTTGCGATATCTTTGTCAACACTTTTCACAGGTAGGGTTTAAGTATTACCAATGTGAAATAATCCCTCAGTCATAGTCTTTAAAAATTGTTCACGAACCTACGATTAATGAAGTTAGGCCTGCCCTAAATTATCAGAAGAATCAAAGTTCAGTGAAGCTTTTGAACACTGAGGAAATCTCTGAATATCTTTTGTTCATTTTGCGATGTTGTTCTTATTTTATCTTCATTACTTACAGTATACTGTCTTTCTTTATCTTTGTTTAACTAGGTTTGTGAAGAAGAAGAAGTGCTAGAGCTGAATGCTCAAAGTCTTGGGGAACTGCTTGGCTTAGATGACCTTAACGTATCACAGGAGGAGGTTGTTTTGGAGCTGGTGCTGCGCTGGGTGGAAAAGTACAGGGGTGACTCAGAAAGGGAAGCCCAGGCTGTGGAGTTGCTCAGGCATGTCCGACTGGAGCTTGTGGATCCTGGATTTCTCCGTAAAGCAAGGAGGAGAAACCCGGTATGAAGAGATTGGAATGAGGTCCAAATATAATAAGGAGCAAGACTCCCTATTTATATTTGTCCTGAGATAAGTATATAGATATATCATTCTTATACTTATGATTCTCTCAGGTGCTTCTGCGGGATACTGAGTGCTTTGGGATGATTGATGCTGTTCTCCAGACGTCAGGTCTCTGCGAGGCCGCAGCTCCTCCTCGCCGAGCTCTTCGCTATGGCATGGAGACAACAGATTTGCTCCTCTGTTTGGGTGGTGTGAATAAGGAGGGCGTCCCTGCGCGGCGTGGAGGACTTGCTGACCTCAGTTTTTGCTTTGACCCCCATGTTAGGAAGACTTACTACATCCCCTCTCCCCTGAGGGGCTGCAGCATAGTGGGACAGATCACAGCAGGCGCAGTGAGCCGAGAAAACATCATAGTGGTGACCGTAGAAGCAGAAGACCAACATCGAACGAAGGGGGTTGATATCTACAGGTTTTAATCCCTTTGCATATCAGAAATCTTTTTATCAATAGGCACCACACTGAATTAACAAATGAACTACTTGTTTATCTTCCAGGTATGACAGTTCAGAGGAGAACAGCTGGCTGAAGTTGTGTTCAGCAGCTTACAGGGACATGTATGCTTTAGGGCTCATAGGAGATGCCCTCTATTTAATCGGTGGTCAGATGAAAGTGCGTAATCACTACGTCATCACAGACAGCATGGAGAGATGGTCACTGAAGAGAGGAGGCAGCTGGCTCAGCTTTGCTCCTCTGCCTCTTCCATTAGCCAGTCACTTTGTTGTGACATTGAAGGAGCATCTTTATGTGCTGGGGGGGTGGACACCACAGGTACCCAGACTCACCATCTTAACCGTTTAAAGCCTGAGCCATGAAATAATTGCCCCAAAAATTCATCTTTTTAAACTGAGTATTTATGGAACCTTCTTACAAAATAAAAGAAAAAATGTATTTGTATATGTGAGTTTGAATTTTTATCATACTTGTTGTGTCTGGCCTTTTTTTTTTTTTTTTACATGGTATTAGTTTAAAATGTAATGTAAAATTTATTTAGGTTTTTCACGGGGAAAAAAAATCATACTGAAGTTGTGGAAGTCTCAAAAATTTACAAAAACTTGCCATATAAAATCCACAAACTGGTTGTTTTTCCCCTGAACATTAACATCAGTATTGTACTTTTATTTAAAATCATTTTCGTTTTTTAAAAACAATTCCACACGATAGAGATCGTGAAATAGTTACTGAAATATTTCTGCTTCTCATTTGTCCAATATGTCCCCATGTCCTCATCTTTTTCTTCATCTCTCTGCCTAAATCTCTCTTCCTGCCATTCAGGATCACCCTGACGACGAGCCTGACAAGCTCAGCAATCGTGTGCTTCAGTTTGACCCCGGCAAAGACAGATGGACAGAGTGTGCCAGCATGAAGTACTCCAGGTACCGCTGTGGGTCAGCTGTACTCAATGGAGAGATCTATGTATTAGGTCAGACTACCAAAACACATAACTGTATCTATGTTAGTATTGTGAAATTTCTGCACTGGAGCAAGAGTAGATGCGTTTGTTTCCAGGTGGTATAGGATGCGATGGAGAGGACCGTGGGCAATCGCGTCGTTGCCTGAGCTCCGTGGAGATCTACAATCCAGATACAGATGCCTGGAGACCAGGACCAACCGTCCCCACATCCCTACTTTCCCTTCGAACGAACGCCTCCAACGTAGGAGTAGTGGATGGAAAGCTCTATCTCTGTGGATACTACAAGGGGGCTGGTCAGTTACTGAATGCCTGTCAAATAATTTTTAAAAGCATTTTTGCATGCGCTCAAATAATTTTTCTCTAATGGCTGCAGGCCGTCATGAGATCATCACCAAGGAACTTTTGGAATTGGACCCTGCAGACAATGTGTGGACAGTTGTGGAAAGACGAGCAGCCATGCACGACAGCTACGACGTCTGTCTGGTGGCTAATCTTAATCCTCGAGATCTCTTCACACCCTAATCCAGCTCCTGCTGGGCCAGTGTGTGTGGAAAGTAAGCGTCTATACGCTAAACCCGGAAAGCCTCATTCAAAAAAGCTTTATTCACTCTTGGTATTTTGAAAAAAGAATAACCAGATTAATTTTCACTATAATTAACTAACAACTTATTTTTTTGCTATATGAGTATCCAAAGTCAAACTTTAGATAATGCAGTTTTATGTTATATATCAATGGGACATTAGCTGTAATTAAATATATATTGTGTTGTATGATATGTTCAGTCAAAAGTCTGTTTGTTACATGTCTTGTCCAAGCAATAAATTTTACCTGTAAATGTAAGAATAAAAGAAAAATCAACATTCTGTTCTGTGTATTTTCTATATGTGGTATAAACTGTTAAACTAACACGTGCAAGGCTGCACGTGTTAGTTTAAGGTCACAAAATCTTGCCTATACAAAAGTCCCTTCCACCACTTTAACTCTTCTTTCAGTAAAAAGAAGGATGGCAAGGGAAAAAAAGCTAATTTTATATTTAACAAGCTATTTATTTTGCTCTTCCATCAAACTACAGAAACCACAGAAGCCTCACACTGACTGCTACTTGTTTTTTGTTGTTGTTTTTTTCTGTGTGTTGTCAAACATTACTTGGACTGAAAGGATGTCAGCAGAAGAACTTGGTGACCTCTTAGTGAGAAAACATTTTAAATATATTTTCCTCTCCTTTTTTTTTGGATAACTGCATGTTGAAATGATATAATAATAAAATGAAATAATAAAGTGACGTGAAAAAGATGGAGGATTCAGGTGTGTGTTATCGCAATGCCACAATCTTACCAGGAATGGACGTCCAAGTAGATTTGACCCAAGGTCAGACTGTGCAATGCTCATTAACTACAAAAATCCCAAAAGACTCTCCATGCTTCAATCAACATGGTAGAACAATGAACACCAATGAACACATCTGTATACCAAAGTATTCTAGGGTCAGATCTGAAAACAGTGGGTCATACAATCGGAAATTCCCAAGCATTCACACAATACCTGGTCTTTCATGCACTTTTTTAAACGAATAATAGTGATATAGTCAGTCTAAAAAAACTCTACATTGCCCTTAAAAAAACAACATTTCAATTCATTAAGATGAATGCAGATTTCACTGTAGTATTTTATACAGCAATTGTGACTTGAGATAACCTAGCGCATACTTCCAGAGTTCTTTGAAATTGCCATTTTGTGAGACCTTGATGATGATAGATGATGCCGATAGTCTGAGAGGCTAAATTTAATGTTTTAGACAACAAGTGTCCTCGCGCAAGGATACAAGAGCAGGTGTGGGCTGGTGGGAGGTGCGCTTGCAAGCATGAGAAACGAATCTCACATTCTCAGGACAGTCATTCAACTTCGCCGCTCAGGGTGAATAAATATGCTAGTAGAAAGGTGGTGGCTGATTTTGGCCTTGGGTGAGTATTTTTAAAATCATCTGCCAATCTGCTATGTTGTTTGTTCCTTTTTCTGTGTCTGATTTTGATTAATGATGGCTGCTAATAGTTACAGGTTGTGTTGCTTGTGTTGTAAAAGGACTGTTGACTAGGCTAATTTAGACTCCTATGTTATTAATCACCGTTGTCATCTTACATTATACGTCCGACTTTCTTTTTATTCTTTTTTTTTATTCCCAGAATGTATTATGTGCATCTACAGCAAGCCCTTACAGCAGAAGAGAAGGTGTTTTTTTCAAATAACAGAAAGTACAAAGCATAACTACAGGCAGAATAAGAAATACACTGCTGCAGGCAGTGTGAGCGGGTCAGTGCAAGTTTGTGAGACCACGGACTGTTGCGTGGGCTACTACCGGATCATTAACGGCACACCAAAAGCTGACATTCTTGGTAAGAAGCCCGAATGTCTGGGCAAGTACATGGAGTGTATAGTGGGTGATTGAAAACAACAACAACAACAACAACAACAACAACAACAACACATTTTTAGCACATTAGCAAAAAAAAATCTAATGATTGATAAGCTAGTTTAAAGAAAGCTCCCGCGCCAATTGTAACAGCTGAAATGTGCCACGTGCTGTGAAGTATAATGAAGTATGTAATATTGTTTGTCGTGCTCCTGATTTTTCGATTGCAGCTTGTGACAGAATTGAAAAGTCATGCCCAGATGAAACCTGCAAGGCACAAACACGCATCAACAATCAATTCTTGACGTGCATGTGCAACACAGACCTCTGCAATGGCAACATTACTTGGGGAAAAGAACAGACTTCACACCCCTACTCTTATTTTTCAGGTATGGTATTAATAAGGTTATATAACCGTGAATTACTAAATAAATGTATAATTTAAGAATAATATATCATAATACAATTAGAAGCATTTAAAAAGCCTAAAACACTTTATGTGCTTCCCGAGGCAACCCCAAAGGAATTTGTGCCCCTCGGGGAATCAAACCAAAGATCTTTTTCTTGTTAGGCTCTTGTTATACTGAATATATATTCAGGTGGTTGACAAATTTAAGGAAAAATCAACATTAAGTGTAACATTACCAGACACCCAACATTTGGCATTGATTTGTCAGTATCTGGAACAGTTAGCCATCACCATGCCAGCAAAATGGCTCACACACCATTACAAAGATCTCTAGCTCAAATTGTTGTGTTTTTCCTTTAATTCTTCACCCATTCGCATGTGCGATAGATATGATCATTCATTCAGAATTCAACTGGCAACTAATCCTTTTTTCTCCCCTTTTTAGTCGTCTTCATGAAAAAGGCTGTGAAACCTCTGGTTGGGATTTTGCTCTTTATGTGTTTCTGGATCGTTGCTGCTCAATGGAGAAGTTGCCTAAAAAAGAAAAGTAAAGTTATTTTTTCTTCAAAAACATTATTTATGATTTAAATACCACTTTAGTAATTCAGTTTGACCTGACTGACTCCACTGCAAAAAAAGAAAAGAAAAGAAAAGAAAAAAAAAGAAAAGAAAAGAAAAGAAAAGAAAAAATAGTGAATCTTCTTTTACACCTTCAAAGTTATGCTTTACCCTCAGATTTCTCAGAGAAGTCCAGCATGCAGGGCAAAAACACTCAAATTCAGTTTGCTATTTTCCTAAAAATAACAATGTCACTTTTAATGCTTTTTTTTTTTAATGCTATAATTTAATTAATTATTCATTTTAGCAGTCTTAATTCCTAGGGTCAGGACTGCCAAAATGAAATAATAAAATTCCATCCATCCATTCGCGTCCGCTTATCCTGTTCAGGGTCGCGGGGGGCGCTGGAGCCTATCCCAGCTGTCATAGGGCGAGAGGCGGGGTACACCCTGGACAGGTCGCCAGTCTGTCGCAGGGCCAACACACAGAGACAGACAACCATTCGCACTCACATTCACACCTATGGGCAATTTGGATTAACCAATTAACCTATCCCCACTAAGTGCATGTCTTTGGACGGTGGGAGGAAGCCGGAGTACCCGGAGAGAACCCACGCAAACACGGGGAGAACATGCAAACTCCACACAGAAAGACCCCGGCCTGATGGTGGAATTGAACTCAGGACCTTCTTGCTGTGCGGCAACAGTGCTAACCACCGTGCCACCGTGCTGCCCAATATAATAAATTTATATATAATAAAATTATCATGAAATAATTAAATGTGTCAATAATTAATTAAAATGTGAAATAAATAATTAATAATTAATTAAATATGTCCAAATATGTATTTAATTAATTAATTTATATTAATTATATATATATAGTATATATATATATATATATATATAATATATATATATAATACTATATATATACTATATATTAAATAATATATATATATATATATATACATATTTAATTATTGACACATTTAATTAATTATTTCATGATGTATTTATTTATTATTTGACGGTCTATTTAATTAATTCATTTTGGCAGTCCTGGCATTCCATACTTGTTGAGTCGTTCTCTGGGATGTGTAACTTGCGTGAATTTCATTAAGGGATAACATCGCATGTGATAAAAGTTGACAACAAGCTGGCCAGCTCAGAGGTTGAAGACTGTTTTGTTTAAGGTCCATTTTCTGCCTTCAGTTTTACATTTTTAGTGTTTAATATTTGCATTGCATGTTCACATCAATCAACTGTGATGAGATATTAGGTTTACCCGTCTATTTTTAGTATTAATATGGTAATAATGTGTCCATTTGTCTTTTTTAATTCCACAGAAGAATAAAGCTATTGTTTCTACATTTTCTCAACTTAAATTGAGTTCCCATGATGTCTTGGCCTTGAAATGCCTTCATTCTATGTGCTACGCTGACCTTGGTTTTTATCTGTGTTACGGTACTCCCTCTGCTACTCTTCAGTCACATTTCCATGCTCTCAGTAACTAATCAGGAAGCTTTCAAATGAATGGTGGCTTTATTGTACTACCAGATTACTTTCTATGAGTGACAACTAAATCACTTCTTTACTATAATATTTCAGAGAAGAATCTACAGTCCCCCAGTCATGATTACCACATCCGACCCTCCTGTTCCTGCCAAATGACAAAAACCTCTGAGATCGACATCAGTCAGATCGAGCTACAGCAGGTATGCTCTGCTATGAAACAGGTTAATTCCACAGTAGGTAGTGTGCAAATTATCAGCAAGAAATGCATACAGGTTCTGATTCTTTACTTGTTTATGTCCTGCAGATTGTGGGCCGAGGGCATTTTGCAACTGTTTTTCAAGGGACATACCAGGGCTCTGTGGTGGCTGTCAAATTTTTACCTGCAGCCTATGAACATAATTTTAACACAGAAAAGGAGATTTATGAGCTACTGCTGTCAAAGCATACCAGCATTGTGAACTTTCTCGGTGCTGGGAGGAAACCAGATGACAAAAGCTGGTTCATCGTGCTGCAGTTTGCTGAATATGTGAGTGAAAACCTTTGCACGAAGACAACAGCTGCTCAAGGAAAAACTGCATGGAACAGACCAGAGAAATATTTGTAAATAATACTAAGAGTCTGTTACAAGTGACAAATAGAATATATAGGTAAAAGAAAAATATTTATTCAAATTATCTAAAGTAACGTGAGTAAATGTTAAAGAAAAATGAATAAATGAACAGGCGCTAAAAATGTCAAATTATATGCCAGGTTAAGCCACTGTGTTTAAAAATATTTATTAAACCAGCTATTCTACCCACATCTCTTATTTAATCACAATGATTTCAGCTCCTTTTTGATCCCATTGGAGACTGAAGGAAACATGTCGCATTATGTGACTCATTCATCATTAAAACCATTTCTGATCAGATGTCTAGTCCGAGACAGAATTATCGTAGAGTAAGGCTAATAAAATTATTGCAAACACTAAGTGGAAACCACTGTAAAGATTTTAAGATGGGTATACTGAACAAAACCATTAATAAAGGTTTAGTGGGTCAGGGGTCAGGATTGCTGCCTCACAGCAGGGAAGCTTCCTAGTTTGAACTTAGTCTTTCTGTGTGGAGCTCTCACATTCTCATAGTCAAAAGACATTCATGTCATATTAAGCTGTTATTCTAACCTGGACATAGATCGGATAATCCGGTACTGTATGGTTAAACCTTGTAGGACTTCAGTTGATCAGTAAGAGTAGAACAGCTCTACATAAAGTTTAAAACTAATGCTAATGTGTGAAACATAATTGCTTTTCTATATTTATGGTTGAATAGTTTATGTTCGATGGCTTTAAGTCTATAGCGCTTTATGTATTTGAAACCACTGTATGCTTCAAGTACGAATGACTATTATCCCTTTGATTTCAGGGATCTCTTCATTCCTTTTTGTCAAAACAAACCACAAGCTGGATGTTCTCACTGAACCTGTGCCAGTCGCTATCACAGGGACTTTCCTATCTCCACTCTGACCTTCTCAGCCATGGTACTGGCCAGAATAATATTGCAACAAATGCATGTGTGCATGGGTTGTCTTTTTGATGTGGGAAGCATAGAATGCATGTTTTTAAACTATTATCATCAAGAATAAAGATGAGTTGTTTTTATCCAAACAATGGATCTACTGCAGTGATTCATCTAATGTGGCCACAAATCTTAAATAATGATAAGCTGTTTATGTGAGGCTGTCTTGGTATGTGAGAGTAAGCTACAGGAACAAAATATTGTTTATTGGATTTTTCATACAGATTTGCACAAACCTCCTGTGGCCCACAGAGACCTCAGCAGCTCCAACGTGCTGGTGAAGGCGGATGGTACCTGTGCCCTGTGTGATTTTGGATGCTCCACCATTCTGCGTTCTTGTTCAGAGCCTTACCGCAGGCACAACCAGAATAAAAACACAAAGGTGAGACACAGGTACTACTGTTTATCCACTCAAATCCTCTTATTTAAATAACAAAACAAAAAAACTTGAAGACCTAGACTTGCTGCTGTTTTTTGAAGTAATTAAAATTTCACACTAGAATTACATGAAATCAAAACATCCAATATTATTACTTATTTCTAATAGATAAATTTGTATTTTTGTAGTGTATTCAACTGGGCACGCTGCACTACATGGCTCCTGAGATCCTGGAAGGCTTTGTGAACCTGAACGAAAGCATGTTTCTCATGCAGGGTGACGTTTACGCTTTGGGTCTGCTGCTGTGGGAGATCTGGATGTGCTGCTATGATTTATTTGAAGGTTAGTCATTATGAGTAGATGATATGATGTTATGATGTTCAAAAGTAAGTCCAAGGCTCTTTAGAGTAGTACAGAAGGCCAAGGTAAAGTTATTCAGAGTACCTAAATGGCTTGGCAAACTGTAAAAAGGTTGCTGTATATTGTGTAGCTGTAAAGTGCAGCTTTATTTGACTAGAAATTATCTTTTTTCTTTTCTTTTTTTTTTACATGTAAGGTACGTACTACAAGAAAAAGCTTTTGTGTTTCTGTTCATGGAGTGAAACTGTGGAACAGTTTGAATATGGAATTAAAGCAACGTCCAAACAGAAAACAGTTGAAAAAGAGTTATAAAAATATGATCTTCTCGAACTATAAAGAAAGGGAAAATATTGATAATAAGTGAATGTCTCTATTTAAAAAATTTCATGATGTGATATTATAGTATATAGTATATATTATTTCAGAAATCTTTTCACTATTTTTATTACAAATTATATCAGTAAGGAAGCTGACTAAATATTAACTGATAACTTATGGCAAAGGGGTGGGATTAAATAAGTGTGTACTTCTTCCCACTCCCTTTCAACATGTAAATGAATCAGAACGGTAGCAATATTGAAATGTATTGACTTTTGTATAGTATTTTCTCTCTCTCACTCTTATTTTCTTTACGAAGTGTACCTGTATATTGTTTACACGTTTGAAATAAATTAACAAACAAACAATAATGGTGCAGCAGTGCAAATGATAAATGTCATGTCATACACCTGCAGTGTTTCTGATGTGTTTGGAGTCAAATATGATACTTTTAATGTAGTCTGAATTTAGAAACAAAAAACTGCAGGTCGTTCAGTTTTCTCTGCTTTAAGGCGAGCCTATTATTGTAATGGGTTGTCATTATCAACAGTACAATTTCAGGCTGTTGCTAGAGTGTCCAGCTTTCATTCCTCTCAGAAAATATCAATTACCACACTGGCTTTTCAGTGGGTGTGTCACTGAAAGGGGAAAACTGATCTGAATCAGAAACTGGTGAATAGTGCGCTCCAGCCAGCCTGGTTTCCCAGTTGCTTGAAATCTGATAGTTAATGCATTGGTTTCTGGGCTGACAAGTCATATTTTCAATTCACTAAGCCTAGAAAAAACTAATAGCACTGCTTCCACCTGCAGGCGGAGCTGCACCACAGCATCTTTTGCCATATGAACTAGAGCTGGGAAGCAATGTAACACTGGAGAGCCTCATGCTGTACGTGTCCTATATGGACAAAAGACCCTGTATACCTGAACACTGGGAACTGCTACCACAGGTATTCTTGCATAGGGGCTTTGTGGTACCACTTACACCTGTGGTGTCTGTAATGTGTGGACTAAATGTTTATTGTTCTCAGGGAGCTGTGCTGAGGGAGCTCCTGGAGGATTGCTGGGACAGTGATTCAGAAGCCCGACTGACATCTCACAGTGTTGTGGAAAGAATAACCTCTCTTCAGTCTTCTTACTCTCTGTGACTTCTTTTTCTGTTGTCTTTTCAGGTAGACATGATTTTGTACTGCTTTCCTTCAGAAACCTTTTTCTGCATCAGCTGCCATAATGATCTCTTATCTGGCAGTTCTGATATAAAGTGAACTCTGATAGCATTACTCAGCAGGCTCATAGGCATTTCTGTCCCAGTTTACTCAGAGCTATACTGACAAGGAAACTGAATTTCATCTCATTAATACCACTGACGCCTTACTTCAGCAGGAACTGGTTTCACTGTTTCTTTTAAAGCCCACAGGATTTGTGTTTCTGCTATGGAAAGCCCTGTGGTATATATTACAAAAGAGAATCGACCAAAGTAGCAGCCATGCAAGTTCAAAACATCTCAGAAATGCAACAAATATCACCCAAAAAGCAAATGTTTCATACGCATAAACTCAATTTAAATTGAACCTCTCCCTAAACGGTCACTCCTAAAAAAACGAAAAAGAAAAAAGATAAGATCAGAGCGTTTCCTTTGTTTCTTACTAAATATTCCATGATCAACTGTAAGTGGGATTATTGGAAAGTGCAAGTATTTATTTCAGTTTTAAATTTCAGGCTAAATCAAATTTTTAGGTCTTCAAACAAAGAAACATGAAATTCATGTTTTATTGACATTTATTCTTCATTAACTTCAGTATCTCAATGATTGAGTGCTGTTTACTAAGTTACTGTTACTGTTGAAGTTACTAAGTAACTGTTGAATCCCAGGAGACTCCCCCAGTGCATATATCTTACACTGTGTAACTTAGCTGCCTTTAAATTAATGTGCATAATGTTACCTTTTTAATCCCATTTATCACTTATGAAAGAGAGGATGGCAACAGGGACAAACTCCAAGCGTACGCCGTTTGACTGCTGTGGCTGGGCTTTGAAGGTGATGCAGAATACCAAATATAATATTCATTTAAAAATGTGTAATCAAGGAAACTTATGAATTAGAGAATTTTCATTTATTAAATTAATTATAAAGATTCTTTTAAAACTGACCACTAGATGTCACTGTTCACTCACATCTATTTGTTTCCAGTGGAAACAATGGATTGTGATCTCATCACAAATCTATTCTCAACACTACAACAAGGAAAAAAGCCAGCATGTTCAACATGTGGCCACATTCTTCTGGCTTACACTTGAAATATATTTATTTAAGCATTTCGTTGTTTAAACTTTTGAATTCAACTGAAATGTTGTTTTCATGCAAAAATGTCACTGATGTTTCAGAGATGCATGCTCATGCCTCAGCAGCATGTCTTTTGATCTCCAACCTTCAACCACAAGTTTAAAACTGTTTCTTTGGCATTGCCTTATTGTATGCTGCATGCACTGAATTCCAGTATGTAACTGTCATTACAAATGTTGCTGTGATTAAGTCAAAAGTTTGCACAAAGCTCCAAAAATAAGACTTTATGTGTCATCAAATTTTAACAACAGTAGAGAAACAAATGAGAAAGAAATATTTGAACCAGTATAATATGCTTGTGGTGGGTAACCCAACGAAGGAGTCAGTCGAGGATGAATAAGTTTAACAATTTCCAAAAATCCACAAAGAACAGTAAACCTCATTTTAACCCCTGTCCTACTTTTAAGCCCACTTTCTGTTAGTGTTCTTTTGATGTTACCAACCACAAAAGCCAGAGACGTCATGTACTGCAGTCTAATGGTCTTGCAGATATTCTGGGTGATTTAGTCATGCACGGAAACATCTACTAGAGAGCTCACAGTTATGCTGGTGTCCTGCCTGATGCGGTTTCATTAGAACTAACAAAAGCGTTTCTTTTAATAAAGCAGCAGAGCCACTGTGGTATTTTAAAATGCTATATCTTCAGTTTCAAACACATTGCTTTCCTCAAAATATCTTGTAGCTGTGAACTCCTCGTCCAGCATACGATAAAGCTCAGTCCTTTCAGCTGAAACTGCTACTGACACTAATGATTATTTGGAATAACTTGTAGTTTCCACTTTTTTAAACTCACCTTGTGTCACATAAGCTGGAGTGGGACCTGCTGCTGCTGCTTCACTCTCTCTGGCTGTGTTTTAAATTAAGGGCCACACATTACCTGGTGTTAAGTTCTGCTAAGGAAATTTGGCAGATATAGTGCCGATACGTGGGGCGATCGTGGCTCAAGAGTTGGGAGTTCGCCTTGTAATCGGAAGGTTGCCGGTTCGAGCCCCGGCTTGGACAGTCTCGGTTGTTGTGTCCTTGGGCAAGATACTTCACCCGTTGCCTACTGGTGGTGGTCAGAGGGCCCGGTGGCACCAGTGTCCGGCAGCCTCGCCTCTGTCAGTGCGCCCCAGGGTGGCTGTGGCTACATTGTAGCTTGCCATCACCAGTGTGTGAATGGGTGGATGACTGGATATGTAAAGCGCTTTGGGGTCCTTAGGGACTAGTAAAGCGCTATATAAATACAGGCCATTTACCATACTGGTTTAACAACTGCTGACAGCTAAACCATCCTTAACTTGTTAGTTGTACTCTGCACACAACACAGCCACAGAGCATGTCCTTTGCTTCTGCTGTCTTATTTCATGACGTTTAACCGAGGTTACTTTATCTATAACAGTTTTTTTGTTTCTTTGTTTTACTGTTTAAAATGTACGTTTTAAATAAAAGAATAAAATCCCTTTTCTCTGACTGCAAAGTCTCTGCCAACTTCCTCAGAGTCTTCAAAGCTCGCCGCATGGCACAGCATCACCACAAATGTCTGATTGAAGTGATGGATTTAGGGTAAATCTGACCCGCAGTACATTCCCCGCATGCCTTCTTCCCCCGTGTTTCTGCCGCTGGGTAGGTCAAGTATTCGCTGGAAAAACCCAAATTAATCCCAAACGAGTGTGACGCTCGGGGATGTTGCCTTGTGGAGGCTCCACCCCTCGCCTCGGAGCGTGTGGTTCCCGTCGCTCCTGTTGCTGTGTTCCTGAGACTGAGAGTGGTAGTAGAAAACAACAGCTGGGCCGATAGATCAGACGGCTTTGGGGCATTTCTTAATTTTCAGACCATTGCAGAAGCCTCCTTTAAACGTGTGAGACTCTATATGGACAACCCGATCATTAAAAAGAGCTCCAGCTGCTTTTTATCAAAACGCAAATTGATTTGGGGATCCGGTCCCGAGGAAAGCTGCTCCTGACAGGTGCGCAAAGTGCGCAGAGAGGATGGGCAGACGTGAGGCGGACAGCAGAGACGCAATGAACACTAGCGGACGCTCCGAGCTGGGCTGCCTGCAGGACGCGGCGTCCAGCAGCCAGCATGGCGGCGAGCAGTCACCGAGAATGGACAGCCGCCGTGCCTGCAACGCGGAGAAGCGACAGAGAAACATGAAAGTAGGCGTGGAGGCGCTGGGCCAGGCATCCACAGCCACAACGTCCATTGAAGTAAAAAAGCATCAGCACAAGCACAACTTAAAGCACCGTTATGAGGTGATGGAGACGCTGGGGAAAGGCACCTACGGCAAAGTGAAGAAAGCGGTGGAGAGAGCGAGCCTGAAGACGGTAAGATGGTCAACATAACCCATCATATTATACTGCCTCAAGCTTTTCGGAGCTGTGTGGCTGAAGGACTCGTTATTTCCTAAACAAAGGGCGAAATGTGGTGAAAGGAAACGATCAATTATCAGTTTCTGAAATTGATCTGACCTCCTAACCTCGTCTGCTGACCCTGTAAAAAGCCTATAAAAAGTGTAATGTGATTCCCATGCTTTTACTTTTCGCCTGTGTCTTCATGCGTCTGTGCTTGCGTGCCGCACTTGCCACAGTGTTGCTCAGTGGTAATTAAATATTAATTTGAAGGTGGAAAGAACTTCGTGGGGGGCGCTCTGCGTGTGGTAGGATATGCGTTGATCCTGAACCCATTTCTTGTGCTGCCAACTTGAGATGCCTTTGGTCTGACTCACTCAGCAATTGAAAAAGGGGATAAAATCACTACAATAGGTCTGCTCCAACTAGAGTCTGACCCCTAAAAACCCAGACTTAAGCACACACACACATACACACAGAGCGAGACATAATACCATAACAAGTTTCTATTTAACTTCACAATCTGAATATCTAGGTTAAAACAGAATGTGGTGCCAGATTAGTTTGAATAATCGTGGGTTTATGTCTGGTCAGACCTTAATCCCTCCCTCTGTGCTGTGATCTGAGAGGATGGTGGCCTCATCAGTTTCCTTTCTGGTTTATTTTAGTAAATAAACACAGTTCCATAATCTGATTGCAACAAAAAAGATGATCCTGATTAGAGTGAGTTTCTCACAATTTGTCTGGCTCCTTCAACTGTGATTGCCAGATCTCCTCACTGATAGTAACCCCCGCCAGGTGTGGAGACGTCGTAGCCCTCACCAACTAGAAAATGTCTCAGTATATCAGAGACTGCCTACCCCCCTTCCCTCAACCCCCACCAGTTTGCTTACAGAGCAAATCATTCTCAGCCCTCTATTGTACACCTATGACTGCACACCAACCCAGCCAACTAATGACATCGACACGTATGCCAATGATGTCCTGACGGTGCTCAGAAAATAACCTGAAGCTTAACTCCCTTAAAACAAAAGAACTCATAATGGACTTCATGAGGCACAGATAGGTCTACTCCCCACTCATTATAAATGAAGAATGGGTGGAATCTGTAGAATCACCCACATCTCCATGGATCTCACCTGGAGCCACAACACCCTGGTAAAGAAAGCCCAACAGCAGCTTCATTTCCTCTGTGTCCTGAGGAAGAATAACCTGGACCAGAAGTGGCCTTCTACTGCTCCTCATTGGAGAGTGTGCTCTTCTACTTCCTGGGTGTTTGCTACGCAGGGGCCACAACAGAGAACACGAAGCCTGTGCAGAGCGTAATTAACATCACCTAAAACATCAGTCACTGCCCTCTACCACCCTTGGAAGCCATCGCCAGATCCTCCTATCTCAGGAAAACCAGGGCCATCACAGGCGACCCTTTGCACTGCGCCCACCACCTGTATGACCTGCTGCCTTCTGGTTGGCGCCTCAGGTCAATCAGGTCCCACACCTTCAGACTCAAAAACACCTTCTTCCCCTGGGACATTCAGACTGTCAAAAAACACTTTCTCCCCACACCCCACCCCTGCCCAATCACCTCACTAATCTGAGCCATGGCCTGAGTTACCCTCATCACTCATGCCACTCACACACGGACTCTATTCATACCAGGTCATTTCTTTGCACGACTTTCAAGCACTTTGCAACTTGTTTTCTGTTGTGTACAATTCAATTCTATTCTATATCTTAACATGTAGTGAAGCATGTATAAGAGACTGCTGGTAGGATACAGAGAGAGGAACAAGGCCATGTAGAGTGTGTGTGTGTGTGTGTGTGTGTGTGTGTGTGTGTGTGTGTGTGTGTGTGTGTGTGTGTGTGTGTGCGCACGCGCGCGCGCAGGGTGAGTGGGTTTGGTAGGACAAGGGGGAAAAGCTGAATTCCTTGAGCCATTAGCAGGCACATACCAAGGATTCTTTGAAACAAAACAGGCATTATTTTTGGAAACAAGGCTAGCAGGCTGTTTTGTGAGCTTGGGGAGATGGGAGAGGAAAGCAGGAAGAAGAGCAGGAAGAGAAGGCACTATGAGTGATTTTATATTAAGGAGCTCACTTGAGACTTGTTCCTGTAAAGTGTCTAAGTGGTTTTCCTGTGACGCTGCAAGAAAGGAATGTAAGTCATCCTCATGAATGCACAGGGTAAAGCAAAAGGAAAGATGAATAACCAGCCTTGGTTATGCAAGCTAAGTATTCTGTGGTCACTTACCCTGGTTTGGAGCCTCACTTGTTTTTAAAGCTTAAATATCGTAGGCAAGAAAAGAAAAAAAAAGGAATTGAAGCAATCAGATAATGCCATCAGAAAAAAATTCTTGTTTCCTTTCTTGCATTTAATGTATATGTCTTTGCCCAGTTTCCCATCAGTTCTGCAATTCCTGGTTAAGCAAAGGGACGGCTTAAGGCTGTGTGTAGATGATTGGAGGTCAAGGGTCACTCTGGCAGGAAGCCTGTATAATTCTGCCGCTAAATCGTTCACAGATGCAGCAGGGACCTTTAGTGATGCTCAGGCTCCTGGGATACATTTGTGTGTTTGTGAGAATAGCAGGGTAGGAAGGAAGTTGGTGCACACCCCAACCCCCATGATGACTTCATACAGACAAACACACCTGCAATAAGTCAAGACTGGAGTCAGCAGGAAAACAAGAAGGGGATGGGAAAGCTAGTACATCCCTTTGCACATCTAAAATTGCCATGCCATCATAATATAGGCCGTGATGATGTCAGAGAACGCCTGAATGACTCCCACATGCTGCGTTGTGTTTCCTACACATTGTTGCAGTTTGCATGGTTGCAGTTTTTAGAGGAAACGATGAGATGTTGTTGGTGAGAAGGATACTTTAATCAAATCAAATCAAATCAAATCACTTTTATTGTCACATCACATGTGCAGGTACATTGGTACAGCACATGTGAGTGAAATTCTTGTGTGCGAGCTTCACAAGCAACAGAGTTGTGCAAAATACAATAATGTAAACAAGCAAAATACAAGAATGGCTACATCTGAAACTAATAAATATATGTACAATATATAATAGTATATGCATTTCTGGATGTGTATACTAAATATTTTTCTACGGTGTGTGTGTGTGTGTGTGTGTGTACACATATTTTACAAATTAAATAGAGTAAACAATAAATAAAATATATAAAAATATACAGAGTTGAGACATGTGCAAAACAGTGGCATTACTGTACAGTATGGAGTGCATAATGTTAAAGTTCCAGTAGTGAAGCTGAGGTGTCTATGACGTGTTCAGCAGTCTGATGGCCTGGTGGAAGAGATATGACCTTTAGAGGTCATATCTCTGCGTGATGCATCCGCAGGATATTTGCATGCATAAGGGTGAGATCACACAAACACAAACAACCACAGCTTCCTCTACTCACACATGGCCCCTTGAAATCAGTCAGATAAAATGCTCACTTTGCCCTGAACCATACCCAGAGGGTCTGTATTCCCTGTGTCATGTGTCACTTCAAAGTCTTGGTAGTAAATTAGAGCTGAGAGGGCAGTAGAATTTTTTGACTCCCAGTCTATATCTTGATGTGTCTAATCCATAACTTTTATCTGTTATATTGCACTAAATCATCCCAGTAACTGATTTTGAAGTCTCCCATTCTCTTCCTCACATTGCTTTAAGTATTTGGGTCATAAATGGCTCTTTAGTGAGCATCAGAATCTGCCTCCCCAACTTTTTAATATCTGCCCTTCAGCTGATGACCTCATAAATCAGAAGGTCACTTCAGTCTCAGGGGTTCCCTGGATGGTGTTCGTGTTGTGTTGCATAACTATCATGGTTGATGGAGCGTGCGAACTGTGTCTCTTCCAGTTTTTCGGAGACATTTTTTTCCCCCCCCGCCAGCTGAGAAAACTCAAGTTTTGACCTGTGGGAGCTCACCCACAGGGACATGCAAAATTATACAGCGCATGTTTCGTCCCATGTTTAAATATCAGCCTCACAAATTAGTCCCATGGCTTCAGCTACTTGTTATATTCCACGTCTCTGTTGTCCTTTGTGTATTTTAGGCACACTCCGATGCCTCGTTGTCTGCCTGCATGCACTTGTCTCGTCTTTGTAAAGTGTTGATTATGTGACACTTATTCTATCCAACCAGTTTTATAGGTTTGTTTTAGGATGCATATTTTTATTGCGGGCCTGCGTGTGTGTGTTCAGAAGCTTCGGGTTGCACTGGTGTATGGGATTAAAGAAGCAGAGTGTGAACACTGCAGCTGTCAACCTTCTGCCTCTGAACATCTCACATCACGAGATCTGCTCTCACCATGCAGCCTTTAAACCCACATAATCATGTCTAATACCCAGAGATTTTATTAGTGTATGAGCGTGTGTGTTTTTAAGCATCAACAGTATGTACAGTATGCCTTTGTTTCCATGTTTGGCTGTGCAGATGATGCATGAACTGTTTATTTGTTTGTTGCTTTGATGGAGGTAAAGCAGAAAATGGTTAAATTTGTGTGTTTTCTGAGGAATTTATGGAAATTAAATCTACTGGCTCAAGTTTTATAACTCAGTCACTAGATTTAACACATGGTGTATGAAATTTGGACACAACCTTTTTTTGTATAACATCCTCTAAACTTTGTCTTCCTTCCAAGGTGGCGATCAAGTCAATCCGCAAGGAGCGCATCACCGACGACCTGGACAGAATTCACATCCAGAGAGAGATTGAGATCACATCTTCACTCAGTCACCCCAACATCATACGCTTCCATGAGGGTAAGATGACACTGACACACCTTCCCACGTAATCAGACAATTTCATAGTTTGGTATCCAGCTAGCGTTTAGGCAGTCAATATTTTAAAGAACGTTAGTTGAAAGATATTAAGTTCCACAACACACACAGCAGCATTTACAGCAGTGTTGTTCAACAATGCCAGGGGCTAAGGGATAACGCTGGTAATGCTCACAAATCCTATTTGAAGCCCAAAACCAACAATGACACGACCCAACTAAGTATTTCCTATTTGTACAAAGAATCGTACACGTCTTCTTACTCCGATCCATAAACTTGCATTGTTGTCAAATACTTAACTTAAAATCATATCACTGATGCACTAATGTGGGAAAAATATCCCAAAACTACTACAAATACCACTCTGGGTCAATTCAGGCTAAACCACCAAAATACTCACTGCAGCAAGAAGTAATCTCTCCAAAAATGATTTGCTAAAAGCTACAGCACCCAGAAATGAAACAATATGATGGAAAAGAATTGAAAAACTTCTAAAACAGCCTTGAGAGATGGTCTTTGGTATCTTGTTTCATCATCTTGTAGTGTTACTTAACAATAAAAATAGAAGATTTTTACCCTTATTCACTAAAGGTCTCCCATTTATTGTTGGATGGGTATTGTTGTTCAATAGAACAAATGAGGAGGATGTTATAGTCCATCAATAAGATAAAAAATTCCAGTTAGCCCCACACCTGACACTATACTTAAGTATATCATTTCGATTTGGTAGCCATTCATCAGGTGAGACTCTTTTAAAGTTGTACAAATGACAGAAACTGCAGATATTTCTGTTTCTATGAAGATTTATTGAAATCAATAAGCATTTGCATACACGGATTACACAGGAGTTGCAAACCTACACAGCCAAAACAGCATTAAAGGTTTCTGTTTTCCTGTGTTGACAGTGTTTGAGAGCCGGGATAAGATTGTGATTGTGATGGAGTACGCCAGCAGAGGAGAGCTGTATGATTACATACAGGAGAGGAGGCGACTGCCAGAAACAGAAGCCCGCAGCATCTTCAGACAGATTACATCTGCTGTCCACTACTGCCATAAGGTTTATACACACCAAACAACCTGCCCACATGTGTTCTGCAGGTGCCCAACAGGAATACATTACAAGTTAGCAAATTGCACACAGGCACGTGTGCACACATGCAAATACTGTACCGCTTAAACCAATAAATCCTAATCCTATTACTGCAGAAAAACTTGACTTGAGTTTTCAGATCTCTTTGGGTTAAGAGCGCATTATAAGGCTCGATTGTTCTTTACAGTCACACACTGACACATTTAACAAACGCTAAATGAGCCTCCTTCAACATTACTGTAAGCCTTGGCATAGAAACAAACACTTCTTTGTTTCTCTGATTTATTGTTGTGTACATAAAATCAGGCCAGAAAGCAGGAATTATCGAGGACTTATTAAGTCCTGTTTAAACAGAAGTGCATTACAGTGGAACTTAGGATATCTGCCTGACTGTCAGCTGAGCTGGACATGGGGGAAAAAAAGGCAGTTGTTTTGCTTTTCTTATTTTGGCAGTTTGGACTCTGTGTGAATCTGCTCACGTTAAACTTATCATTCAGCTTCTGCGTCTCTGTGGTGTGCAGGGTGATGGAATTTGGGCTCCTCGTGCCCTTGAATATTGTCCCAAAATAGACATGAATGTTCCAGCGTGAATGAATTATTGAATGTGCCTCAGAGGTATGCGGTGCACATGGAAAGACGAGCAAGGCTTCACGAGAAAAATGGAAATAATCGAGGGCCATTCACTGCTCCGTTCACAGGCATTTTAAACGATAGTAAAATGCCTGTAAACGACCTGATAAACCACACCTAACCATACGTGTGTCTGCCGTGCTTGCACACATACACACACAGTGCAGTTACATGTAGCACATAAAGCACTGTCTGAGGTCATTGGCCATTTCCTTCACATAAGAAGAGAATTTAATAAATGAAATAAAGTTTGTTTAAGACGAACTGACAGGAATGTTTAAAGTGTCACATGATTTCCTGGGTGACCGCACCTAATGAGGTACTACATATGCAATTTATTTTGCTACAAATAGTGTAGATTTTGAGTCATCTGCCTTTTCCTTGCACACTTGTGCTTAATGCCAGTCGGCGACTCAAACCGTCATCCGATGAAAAAACAGAGCACCTTCTCATGCTTGAGAATAATTAAACAGTCTGATGATCTTCCTTCAGACTCTCCAAGAGCAGGACCTCAAGTGTGTTTCTCCTGTCTTGCAGAACGGGGTTGTGCATCGAGACCTCAAGCTGGAGAACATTCTTTTGGACCAAGATTTGAATGTAAAGGTAGGATCCTAAGAAAATATTGTGCACTAACTGAGCCATCTTGCCACATTTCCTGAGCATTTAATGAGATAAGATAAGATAAGATAAGATAAAACTTTATTAATCCC